GGAGGGGCCCAGGGAAGCACCCTGTGCCCTCCTAGATCAGCCATGCTGCTCACCTCAACCCTCCCTCCCAGCCAGTCATCACACCCTGAGGACCAACCACCACATGTGGTGTAAACCCAGACTTCCCCCAGCTCTACCTCCCCCTCCCTCCTCATCTGTTCCTACTAGCCTGTCTACATGCATTTGGGGTTCTCTGCCAATCTCTTCCTACCAGGGATCCCACACCTGCCACTCAAGGCAGGGATCCAGGATCCCCAAGTCTAACAAGCTGAAGCTCCTCCTCCTCGCCCCTTCCCATTGTTTAAGGAATTGACCTCTGACCCCAGCCAGCCTTCTCCCACTTTGGTCTAGTTTGAGGCAGCCTAAATTCTTTCATTGAATACATAGCCAAGAAATCCACATAGCCCTATATAAACTTTCTCCTGTGAGAACTACCGAGATGAAATCCAGGACACAGATCTCTAAAAACAATCATATCTTTACCAAAGTATTTAAGAAATTGAAATGAGATGTAATCAAATGATTCCATTAACTTAAAAAGAATAACAGTAAATGCCTGAGTGATGCTCAGGAAAAGAGATCTACAGCTCAATTTTATTCATTTAATGATCAAGAAAATCTCAGGCTTGAAAACCAGATTTAATAAAGATATATAAACTTACTGAGGAGAAGTTGTTAACATGGAACTAAAAAACAGTGATACAATTTCAAAAGCATCAGCGAAGCCTTATGAGTAAACGGAGTCAAGTAGAAGACAGCATCAGGACTAGAAGAGAAGGTAGATGAGACTACATATGCAAAGAATGTGAAAACTTTAAAGACACCTTTTTGTCTTTAAATGTGCAGAAATGTGGGATGACATGAACAGATGAGATCTTTGAATTATTTAATTATTCAATAATTATTATAATTATTGAATTATAGATGTGGGAGAAGAATTCCCGGTCAAAGACATGGATGGTTCTTCAGGAAGATAATAAAAGAAAACTTATGAAAACTAAGGCAAGACACACCTATACAGATAGAAGCAGCACACAGAACACCAAATAGACACAACCAGAAAAGGAACTCCTACTTCATATAATAATTAAAATACTGAACAAAGAGAGAGTATTGAAAACTGCAAGAGAAAAACCTATAAGTCACTGATAAAGGAAAACCCATCAGAGTAACTACTAATCTCTCACTGGACACACTGAAAGCCAAAAGCATGTGGAGCAGTGAACTCCAAGTCATAAAAGACCACAACTGCCCAGCAAGAGTCTGTCACAGCTGATGGAGAAAAACTTTCTGTGATGCAGATAGGCTGGCTAAAAATGCTCCTTTCTATCAAACATAGCCCTAATGAGAATACTAGAAGTAATACTTTAGTTAAAGGGAGGACATTGGCATAGCCAAGAACACTAGAGAGCAAATAAATAAGGCTGTAATTACTGGAACACAAACAGCAAAACAAACAACAAAATTACTACAATCAACATATACTTCTTAATAATGATTCTACATATCAATGTTTTCAACTCTCCCATCAAAAGACACTGGCTAACACAATGGATTAAAAAAAAAAAGTCCATCTCTCTGTTGTGGACAAGAAACTCACATTAGCTTTAAAATAAACACCACCTTAAAGTGAATGGAAGAAAAAAAATATTCTGATCAAATGAGATTAGAAAGCAAACAGGCATTGGTATCCTGATAAAAATGATAAAATAAACTTCAAATAAACTAACCAAAAGAGATAAAAGACACTCTGTCCTAATCAAGTGATTGACAAATCAAGACCTAGGAGTTCTAAGTATGTAACCCTGATTTTATTCAAAGGATACAAGAGACATTAAAGTCACAGACGAACCCCAACCCAATGATAGCAGGTGACTTCTATACACCGTCCCCCCACAGACAGGTCATCTAGGAAAAATACAAAACATCATAATTAACTGGCATCATACAGGAAAAGGACTTAACAGACGTCTACAGAGTCCTGCACTCAAACTTCTATTCATAAACCATTCTAAATTGCGCCACATGCTGGGACACAAATCTTAACAGAAAAATAGAAATTACTTTGTATATCCTATTTGGCCATAGGGCAGTAAAGCTTAAAACGTAGTAAAGATATAACCCCCCCCAAAAAAAATCCAAAACAAAACCACAGGCCACTATCCCCAATGAATACTTTTTTCATACATATATATGTATATATATAACTGAGCTTCTCTCCTTCCAAACTCTGGCTTGTGCCAGTTGACATAAAAATTAGCCAGAATGTACACACACACATGATATGTATTCTATATTATATATGTTTGTGTGCATATATACATATATATACACACACACACATATATATATACTGGCTAATTTTTGTCAATGTGTATTATATATGTATGCTTGTTTCAATGTCAGTTGACACAGGAGAGAGTCATTTGGAGGGAGAAAAGCTCAGCTGAGGAGGCCCCCCAGACTGGCCTATGGGCAAAGCCTGGGGTGCGTTTTTTTGGTTGACAGTTGACATAGGAGAGCCCTCGCTTGTCCTGGGGTCATGGGTGCTATAAGAAAGGGGAGCTAGGACTCAGATGATGGACTGTGATTTGGAAGTGTAAGCAGAATAAACTCCTCCCCAGGTGGATTTATACCATGGTTTTATCGCAGCAGAAGTCATAGTAATTGAGACAATACAGATGCAGACATCCTCAGTGAACACTTGCAAACATACACAGGCACATACCAAAAAGATCACCTACCATGATCAAGTTGGCGTCATCCCAGAGATTCAGGGGAGGTTCAAAATAAGTCAATAAATGTAAGAAACCATACAATGAACTTCATGGATGTAGCAAAGCATTTGACAGAATCTAACAACCTTTATGATAAGCGCCCTAAAGAGAGGAGAACTGGAGGGAACATAGTCCAGCATAATAAAGCCTGTGTATAATACATGGTGAGCACAGCTAAGATGGCCTCTGTGGAGAAAGACACAAAGCATCCAATTACAGTCAGGAAGGAGACAGGAGTGTGGCTATAGATTCAGGGCAAGCACAATCAGAATCTTTACCTCATCCTCACAAAAATAGAAGAAGAAAAAACCACTAAAATGTACTTGGAAACAGAAAGGACCAAGTATAGGCAAAGCAGTTGTGAGAAAAACAATGCAGGATTTCAAGATGCAGGACAGCACCATCATAGTAAGACTACAGCGCTGCCACACAAGACATTTAGACCAGTGGCATGAGCACATGTAACTACAGACATCTGATAGTCCAGAGATGCCAAAAGCACTCCAGAGAAAAGGCAACACCTTCAACAGAATGTCTGCATGCAGAAGAACAAAATTAGACCTGTTATCAGCCACCTTGCACAAAACTAACTCCAGCAGGATCAAAGACGTTAGTGTGAGGCCTGAAACACCAAGACTGCTAGAAGAAAGCATAGGTAGAACCCTGTGAGGTACAGGAAAGGACTTTCTGAACAGGCTTTATTTGTCAGGAATCAAGGCCAACAACCGCTAAGGGGGGGCCTCATGAAACGAAAAGGCTTCATCACAGCTACGGAAACAGTCATTTGAGAAGAATGGAAAAGAATCTTTCCTGGCCATTATCTGGTAGAAGATTTATATCCAGAATGTATCAAAAATCAAAGGCAAAAAATAAACAACCCATTCAAACAGTGGGCTCAAATGTTGACATGAAAATAGCTAAGAAGTACCTCAAATAATGTTCCTCATCCTTAACAATTGGGGAAAGGCAAATCTAAATCACTGAGATTTCATCTTACCCCAGTCAGAATGTCTAAGAGTAACAACAAGTGAAAACAAATGCTGGAGGAATGGTGGGGAGAGGGAACCTTCATTCACTGTTGATGGAAATGCAAAGTGGGGTACCCCTGCTGAAAATCGATAGGGAGAATCCACAAAAACTTACCATATGAACCAGCACTAACACTCGCTGGCAAATGCCTAAGGACTTGCCATCCTACTGTAGAGATAGTGCTCAGCCACGTTCACTGTGGCTAGGGAATGGAACAGCCTAACTGTCCTTCAGCTGACAGACGGAGAATGAGATTGTGGTACATATACACAACAGAATCCTATTCAGTTATAAAGAAAAATGAAAACATAAAATTCACCGGTAAATGGGTGGAACTAGAAAAGGTCATACCGAGTGAGACTCAGAAAGACGCAAAGCGCATGTTCTCTTTCATCTGTGGTTCCTAGCCCCACAGTCAGGTGTGAGTCCGTAACCTGAGTAGTTAGCAGGAACCAGGAAAGTGAAGAAGCAGCGTGGCGGGTGAGCCCTAGAGAGGGAGCTAGCAGGATACAAGTGGCGTAAATATTTAATTGCAGAATAACTGAAAGTGGCTTTCCACCTTTATAGAATAAAATGGCATCATAATCTTCAGTGAATAAGCCAGACTCAGAAAGGCACATATTTCATGTTTTTCTTATATGTGGAACCCAGGTTTCCAAAACAAAACAGAGCATGAAAGCAGAGGGCGGACTATTTGTGAGAGGGAAAGGTCTGTAAGAGGGAGGAGGGACAAGAGTGTAACTGCACAGTAAGAAGTAAGAGCCAGAGGCATTCCTCAGAGCTAGGACGTTGCCTCTGAAGCACAGGATGTCATCCTGGAGTCCCAGAACTGCATGAGCAGTTTACTAAAAATAAGATTTGGGCTTGGTGGAGTGGCACACGCCTTTAATCCCAGCAGAGGCAGGTAGATCTCTGTGTGTTCAAGGCCAGCCTGGGCTACAGAATGAGCTGTAGGCCAGTCAGGGTATATTGAGATCTTATTAAAATTAAGAATAATAACATTTCAGAAAAGAAAGGTATTTCTTTTTAACATAATGATATTAAAACAATATATTGTTGAAAGCTTTCAAGGACATTTTGTAAATTTGTTTTTAAAATATTCAGAAGACTTTTTAAAATATTTAAATATGGTCACTACACTAAGCATTAGAGTATAAAGTTCTTATGTTTTTCTTAATCCTTTTTTCCATTTAGGAGGCTCCCGCCTGAGAGACAGGCACTTGAGAGAAGGGATGAGGAGGAGGACTCCTGCACTGACTCTTCAGTGGGCACCACCTGGGATGCAGAAGGTATGGAGCTCAGGCCCCACAAAGGATGATGGGAAATCGGAGTTTCTGTAAATTACCGATGAGAAACCCTAAGCCTTTCCAGTGAGTGAGACTGATAGAATAGAAAATGATGACTTATCTGATGAGAACAAAGGCGACCATTAGCAACTGTATGGATAAACACAGGTACCTTTGAGGAGCCCCGTAAAGGTTAATTCTAGTTCACTAGCTCTAGAATGGGACCCTTTGAGACATGTTTCTAGCAAACTCTCGTACATGGTAAGTTAGCCTGGAGCTTCTACTCCAGCAGGCTTGCTCTAGAACCTCTGGAAGGTGGTTTGGCTCTTGTCCAGTTTGGCAGGAAAGCAGTGCGCATAGGAATGTAGTAAATATGGAACAGAAGCGATGACATAAGAGACTCTCTAACGGTGCTACCCCGAGACCACGTGACAAAGTGACAAAGCAATCAGCTGAACAGACCTTGGAAAGCAGCAGCATTTCAACATGCAGAATAATGTGGGAGAGGAGAGGCGTGTGCATTCCTGCCCTCTCAGCACTTCCTGTGAAGATGACCTTAGCTTGACCCACCCATCCTGTGTCTGAGTCCACTCCCACCGCAGCTGATGTGTGCAGCTGAGGACAGGAAAGGAGCCACACCGTGTCCATAGCGGAGTCTGCGTGGCTGTGCAATGGCTTTCCCTGCAGCCAGAGCCCCGGAACCTACCTGCCATGCTGGGAAGATGTCACTCTAAGAAAACAAGCTGGGCATGGTGGCCCCTGCCCCCAATCCAGAGTGCTGGGGAGGCAGGGGCAAGCAGATCTGTGAGTGAGTTCAAGGCCAGCCTGGTCTATGTAATGAGTTCAGGGCAGCCAGGGCTACACAGTGAGACCAGGTCTCAAAAACTTGTTTTTAGAAAGAAGCATTGTGGGCACTCTCCACTTACTGGTGAGTGTCAGCCTCCAGAGTCGAGCGAGCTAAGCGTTCCCCCGTAACTGGCACTCTTATGATGGTTAAGATCTGGCCGTCATTTTCTCTAATGTTTTCAACATCTTAATGTATTTGTGATTGTTTATTAGATTTTCAGTCACTGGTGTTGTGATCTCATTTTAGGAGAACTGAAGGAAGACCAAAGGGAGCAGGTAAGGTCTCCTGTGGGAACAGTGGACACGGCTTAACTCTGCCAGTGCTTTCTGTTGGCCTATTAACCAGACTACGGGAACAGCATCCAGAGAACTGCTCAGCTCTTTATTTTTAGCAAAACTCCCTGGAGAACCATCAGCAGTTGAAAATAGGCTGGAAACCGAGTAATACAGTGGCAGTCTCTCTCTGTGTGTCTGTGTATGTCTCTGTGTCCATGTATGTCTCTGTGTCCATGTATATCTATGCATATCACTCTTTCACTAGTGGATGGTTAAAATTATTCAGAAGACTTAAAAAGACAGCATGGCAAACTTATCTAACGCTTTCATTTCATATAATTTTATAAAAAACACATATAAAATATAATTTCTGACAGGTGGTCCTAAGCACTTATCTATATTCTATCTCTGATACCCTACCTAAGTCATCAATTCCGAAAGAGAAAAGTCCCAAAAAGCAAAAACCTCATAGTATTATGAATAGTCCATCAAAGGTCTCGTGAAGTGATCCATTGGAAGGCATCATTATGAATGATAGCTACACAATTAATGGCGTCACTTTGGACACATCATTTGAATCTCACTCGGGCTGAAGTTCTTCTTTGTAAAACAGATACAAAGGCACATGCCCCATAGGATTGTATGAAGTCACTTTCTGAATGAGTGAAGTAGAAGTTTCTTAATTTTAACTGCTAACAATAACAGTAATTACCTGCATCATTACCTCAATCTACTTTTTTTCCTTTTCTTTAAGTTCACTCTGTATCCCAGGCTCATTGGAGGTTACTAGCCTCAAACTCAGGGCAAACCTCCTACCTCATCTTCACAAGGGCTGTGATTATAAGGACTAGCCTGGACTTGGCTCAACCAACTTTTTTATAGTCATACCTATCCTGACATTATTTTTTAAATCTGGATTTACCTAGGAGGAAAACAGTCTATATTCCAATGCATACGCATGAATCTACAGCATTCAGTTTGCTAGAACTTAAAGACACTGATAAATTTTATACATATGTATATTTAAAATATTTCTTTGCAATTTCTTTTAGAAATTGCTTTACATCTGTTTATTTTGTGTGTGTAGCGGTGTGGAAATGACAAGCATGTGATAGAGTGTGCACGTGGGGGTGAGAGGGCAATTTGTGAAACTGTTCTCTCATTGCATCATGTAGATTCTGGGGGTCAAACTCAGGCTTGGCAGCACATGCCTTTACTCATGAGCCATCAGCCGGACCTGTTTTATGAACGCATATAAAGACAGATGTATGATATACACATATATACACATGATACATCAATAAATACAGCACATTGTGACTATAATAGATGTGCATTCAATTATAGATTAATATATATAGTGTTTGTTGTTTAGTAAAGATACTTTTATTTGAGCATACTGTAAATTTTAACCATAGTTATTCCCTTATTCTCTCCCTCCCCATCCTCTAGTCCTTCCTAGTCTTCTACTTACATGTCATATAGAACACATAACTATTTATATGCATATTATATTTATAAATAGATGTACATATATGATCTAGACTGCACCAAAAAGAGAAAATGGTTATTTGTTGATCTCATTCCACCCATTTTTCTACTAATTACATAATTTCGTTGTTTTTATGGCTTACTTAGACTCCATTGTGTGTGTGTCTGTACACATATATACGTACCCACACATACCACACTCCATCTGTTTTGCCATGAATGAACACCTGGGCTGATTGCCTAACTTGGCTATAGTAAGTAGTGCTTCAATAAACATGTATATTTCTTTTAACAATATTTTCTTTTGCTGTAAGAAAACCCTAAGGCTATGGACTTTATAAAGAATAAATTCTGGCTGCAGTGTGGAAGCTGAAAGCACAGGATTGGGTAACATCAGTTCCGCAGCCTGCAAGGGCTTCGGGGGAACATGGTATCTCAGCGCCAGGCGCTATGTGGAGAAGCCTCAGGACAAGACAGGCGTGAGAGATGGGAGTTAGGCTTCCTGCTGCCCAGCAGCGCAGTCTAGTCCAGCATGAGGTCCTGAGGAGAACACTGCCTCTAATGGCTTATCGTCACTCAGCCTCACCTCAAAGACCCTACAACCTAACCAGCCTTTAGGGAACAAACCATAGGAATAACAGTATTTTCCACAATTTTATCACCACTTTTCCAACATCTATTGGATATATCCAACAAAAAATAAAATTGCAGGAACTATTATATCTTCCAGGTCCTTATCATAGCAGGCACCAGCCTTAGTATTTTTGGTTAAGATGTAGCTCTCACGAGTAATCTGTTGGTGAGGCTGCTTTTAGCCCCATATAAACAACTGAGATTAAGCCATTCCCATGGTTGCCCAGCTGGGAAGGGATAAAGACTGCAGTAAGAGCAGAGCTCCAGACTGGGGTTTCTCAGCCTTCACATTTCTAACAGTTTGAGTAAAACCATTCTCCATTGGTTAATAAAAATAAATAAAAAGGTAGTCTGAGGGCCAGGCATGGTGGTTCACTCCTTTAATCCCAGCACTCCAGAGGCAGAGGCAGGCAGATCTCCGTGAGTTTGAGGCTAGCCTGCTCTACAAAGTCTGTTCCAGACTAGCCTGCTCTACCAGTCCTAATCCAGAACAGCTAGGACTCAGTCACACAGAGAAACCCTGTCTCAAAAACCAAACCAAAACAAACAAAAGTACCTGAAGTAGAAGGGTTGCCAGACACCAGGAGGGTAAGAAGAGTAGAAGGCAGGTGGACACATTCTAGGAACCTTGAAACCCACTGAGGTGGAGTCACAAATGATGTCTGTCACTGGAGTCTGCAGTAGCTTCACAGTCTTGTCCTCTTCCTCCTCCTTTGCCTTTTTATGTCTCATGCATTAGTTTTGGATCAATTTTACAAGGAGCTATGAAAATTGTAATGACTGATAAGGCAAACGTGCAAGTCTGCTTACATAAACAGTACGTTTTTACTTCCTCTCACTGTTTAAGCCAGCTGGACTGTGTTTGAACGTGGTTTTAATTGTTTTTTATCTTTTTCCTTGCAGGACATTGGAGATGTTGGTTCCCTCAGAATGGTTCACTTTGGTTTGGTGTAAATCATCAGGAACTCCACGAAGAAACCTGCCCTTTTCATATCTTTTATATTGACCTGATTCGATAAAACCCTCCATGTATGGATTTTAATATACGGAAAGCTGGCGCATGAAGCATGGCATAACGATAGCAAAGTAACCCTAAATAAAGTTCTCAATGGCTTATGTTCACGCGTGCACTTTTTAAACTCTGAAACCGCACATTTGAAGCATCAGAGGTTGCTGTAGTAATAACAAGAGCTAGAATGTTTAAACTTGTTCTCCCTCATCTTTTAAATGTTCTCCCTGGGGGCCGGAGAGATGGCTCAGTGGTAAGCGTGCTTGTTCTTGAAGAAGGCCCAGGTTCAGTTCCCGGCACCCACACGGCAGCTCAGGACTCCGGCTCCAGGGGATCCAGGTCCCTCTTCTGACCTCCTCAGGTGCCAAGCACAGACGTGCAGTGTGAACAAATCATTCATATAATAAAATAAATCTTGACCAAAATTTCATCTCCTGCTCTTATTTACATTAGTCATGAAGTGTTTATTGAGCAAAAGTCTCTGTCCAGACCTCCTGAAACAGACAAACGTTTCTCCTTCTCCTTCTCGTAGGTTTTTGCAGCGAGGAACCGGCACCCATTGCCACAGCCTGCTTGTTAGAGGAGACTTGAGCTCCTTTGGCCTAGGCCCCTCCCTCGGACATCACAAAGAGAGTGCACACAGCACCCGGCCCTTGCTTTACACAGTGCCACATGGAAGTATGGAAATGTGGCTCAGGGAATGCATTTGGAGGGTCACTGATGTGGCCTCCTATTACAGTCTAATGTCCTGTCTTTGTCTCTGACCCCAAGTCCCACCCGTCGTTCCCAGCACCTTTGAAGCTACAGCTCTGTAAGCTGTGAGCTTGAGGAGCCTTACTGGTCCTCCATACCCATCACCAGCAGATGGTAAACCATAAAGTTGTCTCGGGCTTCCCACTCATCTTTGCCAGAGATGATGACGGGGACAGGGAGAAACACACTTTCCCGCTTGCCACTGGCCCGAAAGGTGTTGATAGGGGAGGACCTCCTCCCCCTACTATCTGACTGTAGCCTATCAGGTCTCATCAGGACTGTCTGGATCCTCCTCTGTGGCCTGGCAATGCTGCCCCCTCAGGAGGAAGTGATCAAAGAGCCAGCACTGAGCCCATGTCAGAGACAGACCCTGCTGCTCTTACTAAGGAACATACACTGAGAGTGGGCTGCCTATGGGCTACAGCTGGGCAGGGCATCTAGGTCCTCTCAAGGCACGGCTGGAGCATCGGTCTCTGCAGGCTGACCTGGGCCCAGGTTTTTTGGCTCTGTTGGTCTCCTTGTGGAGCTCCTGTCCCCTCCAGGACTTTCTATCTTCCAAGAATCTATTTTTAATAAAAGGAAATAAAATTATTTCCATATCCATCTATTTTCTTGAAAATTTTGTGTCTTTACAGCTGACTAAAATTCGGTGTTGTTTTTTTTTTTTTTTTATGTTGGCAAGATGGGTTGAAACTTTTGTACACTGTTCCTAGAAATGGGAATGGTAAATAGATAGCACAGTCATCTGCGAACCGCATGGTAGTTCCTAAAAATCCTTCAAACAGAATTACTGTATGATCCATCATTACCACTTTCTACACATGCCCAAGAGAACTCAGAGGAAGAACTCAAACAGGTATCTCTGCTTCCACGCCGACAGCAGTATTATTCATAACAGTGAAGAGGTGGAAATGCCCAAATGTCCCCCGACAGCTGAATGGATAAACAAAATGTGGTGTATATACACACACACACACCGGGATGCTCAGCTTCACAAACAGACAGCCCTGACATCTGCTGCAACACAGATGGGTGGACGCTGAAGACATGGTGCTAAGGAAACACCAGTCATAAAAAGACACCATTCCACTGAAAGAGGTATCAACTGGAACCAAATTCATAGAGTTGGCAAGTAGAACCTGTGGTTGCCATGGTTGACGGGACAGGAGACCCATGACCTATTTGGTACGTGCATATAAGGATTTGGTGTTTCATGATTAAAACATTCTAGAGGTTAATTTTCTAACAGGGCAACTATACTTAACCTGCTTACTGACCCACACACTTAAAATGGCTGAAGATGGCAAATTGTGTCATTTAATTCATTACTATTTTAAAATGTGTAATTGTGATGATGATTTTGAAGGCTCTGAAATAAATTCATTGAGATCTATCTTGAAATAACACCCCCCCCAAAAAAAAAAGCAAGATGCAAGATTTTGCTAAGGCTACTTTTGCATTTTAACAAGTTAGAAGTATAGCCTTGGTTATGTAATTATCAATTTGCATTTTTAGAATTCATGAATTCCAGAATTAATAAGAAAATATTTGTAGCTAATAAGCAGCTATTGCAAGATTGGAAGATGCAGAGTTAATGGAAGTCAATCAGTTTCTTATATTCTGACACAAAGCAAATAGAATCTGAAGTTGAAAACACATCCTTACTGTTGGGGATCTGAGTCAGTGGTGGTGCTTGCCCAGCATGCACAGGCCTTAGTCCTCAACATTGCACACATACATGGACACAAACAAGAACAACGTAGCTAGGAGAGCACTCCTGAGAATAAAATGCTTAAGTATGAACCTAACCAAGCTGTAAGGTGTATACGAGGAGAATTATAAGACGCTGAATAAGAACCAAGCAATAGAAAAACATTGCCTGTTTGTGGTTGAGAAGACTCCGTGTTCTCCAGTGATCCGTTCTTCCCAGCTTAAGTTAGAATCATTCAGTTCCCATCAAGACCTCAAATTATAGGAATCATAAATTATTTTAATGTTTAATGGCGAGCAAAAGAGCCAGCCTGGTCAACACAATAGCGAAGAGAAGCAGCTGAGGTGGCCAGTGCTCAAACTCAAAGCCCCCATAAAGTCCCATGATGACAGCACCCTGGCATTAATGAAGAAGAGGCAGACAGAAATAGAGCCAGCCCATATACAGTCAGTATTTCTTTGACAAAGGACCAAAGTGATACAATGAACAGAATGAAAGACCCTTCAAAAGTTGTTTGGAACAAAGGGATCTCCACATGAAAAAACGACAATGAATCTCTAGACCGACATCGTAACCTTTACAAACACTAACGGTAAAATGTAAAACTACAAAATTCCTAAGATAGGGTGGAGGTGGCACACATACACACACTGAAATGTAATAAAACTCCTTAAAAGAGAATGTTGGGGAAAATCTAAGTGGCCTTGGGCTTGGTAGGCAGGTTTTAGATGTGACACCAAGGGCAAGATTCCTGAAAGACCTGACAAGCGGCCTTTCATTAAAATTAAATTACTACATTCTAAAATAGACACTATAAAAAGCATGAGCGTCCAAGCCAGGCTTCCAGAAGATGGAGGACGACTCCCACCCATGGACTGCCAGACTCTCTGGGAATAATCTGGGATATCTGGGCACAGCTACCTAAGAGGTGGGGATAGTGGGAAATACCAGCTTCTGTAGCAAAGAAAAATAGGAAACTTGACAGTGTAAAACAGGGAGAGAGGCTTACTTCAGAGCAGTCAGCCCAGTTCGGAATGTGCTCCGTAAGGAAAGGAGCCCAACTGGAGAGTGCGAGAACCACAGCTTAAAACAAAGAGGGGGACTCAGAAAATAGGCACTTCAGTGAAGGGGGAGAAAGGAGGTGAGAGCTGCACAAGGCAGGTGCACCTAAAGAGGGAGAGGAAGGTTGAAAACCTCTCCTCATTCTCTCCCGTAGTTGCTATTCCAATAAAACAGTGGCAAAAGGCCACTTTTAAAAGACCTCTGTGGGGTCCATGGCTTGTCAGCCCTGGAGACAAAAGTCCGTACACTCTGGAAAGCCACAGGTCAAGGGAATAAACTCTGAAACAGCCTGCAGGCTGTTGATGGAGCAGGGCAATTTTGACTCTGAACCATGCAATGTTCAAAGTAGAAGTCTGGTCTGAGCTGTAGCCTAACTACAGTGACTCCCCTCCCCCAAAAAGAGCCCCTTAGTAGACCACCCAGAGGGGCCAAGGGAAGAGACTGCACAGCCGCCCCACACCCTGGTGAGTGCTTTGACACCACCTTCATTGAATCTAAGGACAAGCTTTGTGCTCTGGTTCTCTCTCTCCCCTTCCCCCCTCCCTCTCTCTCTTCTGACTCTGCTGATAGGATTGTTTTAGCTTAGCATACTGTTTCTCTACCTCTTCCTCTTTGCTGGGTGTGCTCACCTTACATCATTTCCGTGATTTACACTTCTCTCGTATTTACTTCCCCGCCTCTGTTTTGTTCTCAGTGCCTAATCCTAACTACAAGCATCCTCTTCGTTCACATCGGTACTTTACTAATGAGTCTCTTAGTGCACACAGCACTATACATGCGACTTTACGTCACAAAGGCACTGGAACTCAAGAGGCAATTATACAAAAATGGCTACTACAGCGTTTCCATAGCAGACCTAAGCACCAGCTATGGGCTTGAACCTGACGCCCTAAGCATGTGAGCTGAGGGTCTAAGCACAGAGCTATCACCTCAGACCAGAGAGAAATGAAAAAAAAAAAAAAACCTCAACCTATTATCACTCAGCTTTATTTGATTATTACAAATAATTCCGTTGAAAAATACTAATTTTTATAAGCACAACCAGTGACCAAATCCTCGAGAGCCAAGACCCAATACATAAAGAAATAGGAGAAGCAAAAGCAACCTGAGTCTTCCTAATATTACCAGTTTCATTGTCCCAGCTTCCAAATAGATGAAATTCCAGGCAAATAATCATCATTTAATGTTCAGTGAAATCAAAGAGACACAAGGAAACTTGAATTTAAAAAACAACAAAATGTGAGAGCCACTCTCCTGAGCAGTGAAGGGCAGGGCCAGCTCTTCTGCTCTCACCACCTTGGGGCCAGGCCTCCTGACTACCACAGGTGGGGAGAGGGGGCAGAGCATCAACCCCATGCTCATACCACCTCACAGCAGACCAGTGGTAGTGCCAACTCTTCCACGCTCACACCCTAGGGGCAAGCTCACCCACACCCCTCCACCAGGACCAGCTCTACTGTGCTGCTCAAGTGCAGGGCCCACTTTCCTGAGTGCTGCCTTGGCCCAAGAGCACCACAGCCAGTGAGGGGCCAGCTCTGCACAGCTCTTGGACATTAGTGTGGTCCCAGGCAGCAGCCCAGACC